CCGTCATATGTGTGTCCAAATGTTTATCTACCTATCTATTTGCTTGTGTAACAGCATGTTTATTAGTCCGTCTGTCTATTATAAATATTCAGATAAAAGTGACAAATGAGTAAAATTGATTGACAATTTAATAGAATATTTCTACAAAATAAATGCCAAAAATGTATTTAGGACATAGTGAGTACTTTATTATGTACTTAAAATAAGTTAGATTTGGTTTCTTAAATGCTTTGCGGAAGATGTAGTGCAGACTTAGCACTAATATATTTTAAAACTTTCATACTTTAAAGGGAAATCAGAAAAGGCACAAAATATATTAATAAATTAAAAGTTTTACTAACGAATTATGAGAAATAGGTGGGAGCAGCCATAGGGCTGAGAGTATTTAAAGTGTGACACAAACAGATATAGATGTATGATCGATCTATGGTGTGTGGTTTACTGCATGCTTAGGTGTCAACTTATAAAAAAATTGCAATTAAGCACATATTATAAAGCCACATATAACTTACTAAGTATAACATTTTTCTTTTCACATCTTAGATTAACTCTTTTAGAATCTACATTCAAACATTATAAATTTTTGTTTATTTCCTTGATATGGCAACAAAGAAGTTAAAAGTAATTAGTGCTTTTATTTTTAATTGACTTTATTATTATATGATGTATACTATCATATGTGAACACTTGATTGAATAATAAAACTTATTGCATTTTAATTACCCATATTAGTTATTGCAATTTGTTTATTATTTATTTACATATACATTAACCAAGTTTAGCACTAACTACTTGTGTGGGTGGAGTGAAGAGGTTTACTTCATAAATGATATGAACTTAATTCATTAGTATGTAAATGTCGAATGCAGTATGGTCTTCAGTGTATGACTTAATGGTTTAAAAAGAAATATGTACTTTTCCTAAGTTCTTCCTAGTCTTGCTTTGTTTCTTGAGGAATTATAATGCTTTCTCTATTTGTCCTTCAGAAAACTTGTAAAACAGTGTTAAAAGTTATATATTAGAATTTCAAATATATTAGAATTTTAAATATATTAGAAACGTAAAAAATTTATTTATTGAAATTAAATTTTTTTTTCTTAATATATTACTTAGAAATATATAAATTCATAATAAACTTAATCTTTAATTTATATATAAATGAATACTACAAACGTAGATATATAAAGATGCCTGTAAATCTATTAACACAGTTGTTTATATTATTTTTATTAACGTTTAAATTATTTTTTTTTTATAATTTTTTGGTTTATGAGTTTGTCAAAATTATGAAATGACATTTAATTTCATTAGCGACTTCAGTAGAATGAATGAATTTTACGGGTTCATCTGTTGCGTTGTTTGCACTTTAAGTGACCTTAACTGTGCGGTTAACACGGTCTGCAACATGTTCAACCTCAACTTCATTCGTATCTGATATAAAAATATTATTTGTTTATGGTTCTGAGACTTAATGTCGTAGTTAAGTTTTTTTATAGAGCACAAACTGTATAAAAAAATTTAAGATATAAAGAATTAAGAAAAGCAAAAAAAATTAAAATTAAAATGTGTCCAGCATTACACAACCTTGAGTTTAAATGGTTCGAATTTTGACAGCAAAGCCCGCAAGATACTTTTCATATGAGAACTGTTGTAAGTATCTGGTATCTTCATCTGTTTCTATTTAGCAATAACTCACCTATTTCTTAGAAATAAATATAAACAATTTCAACACGACTTTATTAGAGACTAGCTAGAGACACTATTTACACTATTCTCATTCTAGTTGTAAAACACTTTTGTACGGTAATTGAAATGTATATGAGACTAGGAGGTATGAGACGACGGTGGAGTTATGAAATATGGTAAAATTCGCATAGTTTTCCACAGAAAACAACTTAATTTATTGTAGTTAACATCGTTTTGTAGAGCATGGAAAAGGTTAATTTCATAATGAGACATGCTGTGAAGTGACATGCCATTGAACGTGGCCACACTATACTATTGTACTTAGAGTAAAGTTCTGAGCTTTGTAGCAGTTAGAATTTTTGTAGTGAAATATTTAAGGAATAATAATAAAGGAATAGTAATTTGTTAATAAAAGAATTTAGAAAGATAACTAGTTTGGTAAATATGATATTATTTTATTATATCATGCTGTGTTATTTATGTTATTTTGGTTGCTTATTAATTATTTAATGAGTCATTTTTATGGGAGATATACAATTATTTAATTAATTAATATATATTATATGTGTAAACATAGGCATTCTAGTAAAAAAATCTAACGTTCGTTTTTTTGATAAAATTAGTTATATCATTTCCTAATACCTTAGGGAAAAATAAAATTTTGTGGAAAAAAATTGCTACTAAATTTAAATTGAAATTACAATGCTCTTGAAAGTAGGAAATCTAAGTAAAGTTTCCACCTTACAACTGAAAACAGAGCAATTTTTTTTATTATTTCTTATAACTAAAATATATGTAGGTTATATATCATTTTGGAATAAGAAATTCGAATTTCTTAATCATTTTAAGCTATCTTAAAAGGTTTCAAAGATATACGCATTTAAAAATGATCATCTTTCATATATTTATGAGGTTTTTTTGCTATAGCCTTTTCTGAATACTACTATATAAAAGACTGTGTTAGAGCTCTTAACTTTACACGAATTTAATATTTCTCTACTTTGAGTGTCCGATCATAGGGATATTTTAGGCAACTTCTAAGACAGATAAGCTGCGAAGATGGGATGTTTCAGTTAATCACCAATCGGAACACCTAAAAAACTTGACCATGTCGTTAACATATTGCAAACATTTGTTGAATTCTCTCTTATCTGTACAATTTAATAAAAAGTGGAAAAACTCAAAGACATCTGATTATTTTAAGAAAAATAATCTAATACCTTGATTGAGATGTCACGTAAAGTGATGTCACGTATCAGTCTTATGGTAGGTTTGTTGACGGGCCAGTCCCGATTAGGGAACCATGCTAAAAAATTAAGTATCTATTTTAATTCGCCTTACTGCCCACTGTAACACCGGCAAACGTGGCGACGATTTACTATTTTAAGGATTTCCTTTTTTGAGAATCTTGATGAGCCTTAAAGCTTCTCTTAAAAATACATCTCTATCTCTACGAACAGACTTATTTTGTTAAGGTGATAACGCAGTCTATGGTGGCCCGTTAAATATCCCACCAGCAATCTGAACTCTGTTCTGCTGAAGAAGGATACCTTACCATAACCGTAGGGATGAACCAGTTTTGAAATATGACAGATTATTAGAATAAAAAAATTTTATTTTATATCTTAACTTTTAATTTTTCAATAACACGTTGTACCTCGGTTTATATTTAAAATAAACCCCCTCCTCCTCGCCCCTCTTTCCGTACTAACAAAATATTTTTCTTAACCAACGAAATAATAAATGGAAAAAATTCTGCACTATATAGATATATAATCTGCTTAAAAATAAAAGATACATTTTTATCATATACCATATGATCCACAAGTAGTTATTCCTCTCAAATAATCCATAAATAAATTTAACAAGATTACCAACAACTTCATTCACGAAAATTCTACAAACACCGAAAAAAAGACAACAACAACAAAAGTGTTTGGTTTGTTCGGTGCAAAAATCCATAAAAAAAATTAGCAGAAGTATTTCATGCTTAACTGACTGCGGTTTGAAATAAAATCAAAATGAAATTCCTATAGAGATTGGGCGCGCATATGCAGACAACAACAAGAAACTACAACAACTACAACAAATACAATAAAATCAATAATGCACCACCACAAGGCGAGCAATGCGAACCCATTTTCTTAAAATTGGTAGCACGCGCCAGTAATTTGATGTGTTGTTGCAAATATCAATGTTGTCCAGTCGGGTAGCTAATACGAGCAAAATCAAAACCAACAACTACAACAACAACATTGAACAAATAAAAACACAACAACAACACTAACAACAAAACAATTTAAGTCAAATTTGCAATTACATGTGCTTTCTATTGCTTGGAAATTTGGAAAAACAGTCCGAAGTGCAATAGGAAAATCTGCATGTTTGTGTGTGTGTAAATGTATGTTATGTTTATGCATGTGATTTGCAATAACGGGTTAGAGGGGTACATGCTACGACAAAAAAAAAACAACAACAATATAATATTGAAAAAATTGACATGCACAGGATTAGCAGCAAGTCCCGTTGAATCAAGTTCAACACGAGTTCAATAAACGCTGCATGGTGTGATGCTTGCTTTTGTGTTTTTTTCTCTTCGTTTTTGTTTTGGCATATTTTAGTTTAGTTGTTGTTGTTGTTGTTATTGGTTCTGTTATAGTTGTTGCTGCTGTTATTGTTGTTGGCGTTATTATTGAAGTTGTTTTTGTTGTTATTTTTCACACTATTATTCCTGTTAAGTTCTTGTTCTTAGCACTGTTTTTACTGTTGTTTTTGTTGTCATTGTTGTTGGAGTGGAGTATTCATTGTTTTCTTTCTTTGTTTATTGTAGTTTACTTTGTAGCCGTTGACTTGATTGCATTTGCTATGATTCGATTCTAGTCTTACAAGTTTGGCTTGTCAGTTGAGTTATCAGCAAATCAGCAAAAGATCGGCAGCTTAGAACAGGTGTCGTTCGCTTGTTTGTTTGATTTTTTTTTATTTGTTGTTTGTTGTTCTGCTGCTGCTCCAACGCTGTTTGTTGTGGTAACCAAAAATATTTGGCACGCTTTAATACCACCACCACCACCACCTGTGGTGAATTACAGTAAGTTAAGTACAAATTTGAAAGAAGAAAAAAAAAATAAAAACATTTGAAACATTCTAGTAGTTTTACTCTAACCGCTACTTGCGGTTTACTAGTGTTTAGTTGCAATGTTTGGTGCCGCGCGCACTTTCTAATGCACATAATTTAGCACACACTCACTCATGTTTTTCTTTATTTTCTTGTTTTCTTTTCTTTTCTTTTCTTTTTTTTTTTTTGTTTCTTAATTTAGCACTCCAACTGCTGGCAATAAATTGAATGGACAAACCACACCCCTCGACGTATCTGGCCTATCACAAAATGAAATCCAAGGCCTGTTGCTTGGTGCACACCCAGCGTCTTCAGCAACGGGCACCACAGCCGTTCCAACAACGACAATTTCACAGCAATCAACAATTGTGGAGGCTGCTGGCGGTGGCGCTGCCACAGCTGTTGTTGTCACTGCAGATCAACAACGTCAACAACAGCAGCAGCAGCAACAGCAACAACATCATCATCAAACCCAAACAATAAATATTAAACGTGAGCCTGAAGATTTACGCAAGGAGCCGAAAAATGGTGGTGCTGGTGGTATTGTTGGTGGTACCAACGGTACAGCTGGCGGCAATCACGGACAGAAGGTGAGTGTCAGCGCCTGCGCAGGCGCTGCTGATGATGGACGCACACGCAACAATGTGGTTTTGCTACTGTATTTCTTCTCAAGACCCCCCTCTTCACCCAATAATGGGTAAAACTCAAACAAAACCAAAAGAAAAAAAATAGAAAATAAATAATTAAAAAAACAAAACAAAAAATATAGTAAATAACTAAACTACACTTTAAAATACGTGGGCATATGTGCATTATGCTAAGTCCAAGTCTGCTGAGTCTGCCTAATGGCTGACTTTTAATTAGCTAGAGCCATTGCTACAGCCACAACTAGCCTTATCTATCTAGTTTAGTATGAGTATGATTATCTATCTAATACTCCACTCAAATATGTACGTATACTAACAACGTATGTATAGTTGTAGTTTGCTCGTATACAAGTACACTGTATAATGCATGCATTGCGCGCAATTGGTGAGCACAGCTTAATGCTAAAGCCGTTCTATTGGCTGACAATCGTCGCAACAAACTGTTATACTATCATGTATGCTTGACTTTTTGTTATTGTTTGCTACTTTTTGTTTTTGTTTTTTTCTTTTTGTGAAGTCTAAATATTGAATGAAACAGTAGTACGCTCTGGTGGTGGTTGTTTTATATACGCATGCATGTTTTACTTGGTGTGTGTTTGTGTGTGTGTAGAAGTTTTTTAAAGCACTTATTTGCATATATATTCAATGCACTCTAACACATTGGTGCTTTATGTAGGAAGAGTGCTCGCACTCGCACTCACATTCGTATTCGCATTCGCACTCATACCGTACAGCTTATGCACGGCGTATGTAGGATCGACGACGAACGACGATCTTTTTGTTGGAACATGTTTGACATGAACATGTATGTTTTCAACATGATTGGATGTTATATTGATTTTTGTATGTTTGCTTGGTTTGTATTTTTTTTTTTTCAATTTTTATTGTGTATTTTTTTTAGTCTGTCATACAACGTTAACAGAACAAGATCGGTCGGTAAAGCGGGTAGTTGTTATTTGACAGAAGACGTCAAATGTGCGCTTCAAAGTGGTTTTGTTAACAAAATTTGATTATTTTTTTCTCAAATAATTTTAATGTTAACTGTTAAATAAAGCGCGCGTCGCGACCTTAAATTAAATATTTTTAATTAAACGAAAAGTCTTAATTAAAAGAGTGAAGTGTGTTTTAAGAATTTAATTTGCAAGAAATAATAATATACAATAAAAAAATAGTACTAAAATTAATTAAAAAATCATAAAATAATAGTTTTATTAGTATTATAATAAAACGAACAAACAAATAAATTTGAAACAAATAAAGGTCAGTCTTCAAATAAAAAATTAAAATGAATTCATGTATAAAAATAGTTAAAAATCTGCAGCAAAGTTTAACTTAATTAAAATTTTTTTTAATATAGTTAGTAATAAATTTTTATTGTTGTTTTATTGAAGCAATGCCAAAAACATGTAAGGGAATTTCTGCTAATAACATAAACAATAACAGGTGTTCGTAACGAACACAAGCACAGCAAAGTAGAACTGCAACTACTGTGTTGTGTGGGTGTGAGCTTGCATGCGTGAGTGCGCACAGCACCCTCGCTTATGTTAACAAGTTTGTGCCTTAACTCTACTGATGGCAATTATGTTGTGAAAATTGATTTTGTTTACCGCAATTTAACGTGATTTTCATTATCCCACAATAAAACTAGTTAATTTACTTAAATTAAGTAATGTAAGCAATTAGTTCATTTAATATAATTTAAATTATTTTCCCTCCTACAAATGAAACTAATACTACTAATATGTCAGTGCTTACTGCCAACTCAAGTAGTGACATTTGCATAAAAATATTTCCGGCAAAAAAAATATTAACATAATTTTTTAAAAACATAAAATAACTTAAATAATAAAAAATCTGTCAACTATGCAATATAACGAAAATCAATAATAAATATCTAATTTAAAAAAAATATTCACATATATTTATATTCATATATATGTTCTGCTCTTTCGATTAATTTATGCGCGCACATTTATTAAAAATAAAAAAATGCTTTAAAGAAAGAAGTAAAACTTCCGAGAAGTTTCAGAAATTAAAAAAATACATTAAAAATTATACGAAAACAGTTTCACTTTTTAACTCGCATTTAAATAGTTAATTGCCTTGTCATTAAATTTTATCTCTTCCTTATAAATTTTATAATAATTTAGCATAATTCTAAAAGCAACTCATAATCGATGTTTATACGATACACTAACATTTAAATACATTTAGAAATATATAGTTATAGATTTATTCTAAAGTGGTATCTTTTTTCTTTAATGTCTGTTAGCCAAGGTCTTTTGTGACGTCGGCATCGACTGTTTTTTTTGTTTTTGGTATCTTAAAAATGCAAATTAATTTCGTTGTACAAATTTAATTAGCTCGGAGCCAAAACCTATAAAGAAAAAATACAACAAAAATTTAAAAATCAACCAAAAATTTAACAAACCAACAGCAACTAAAGCAGCTAACAAAACGATAGAACTAAGCAACACCAGCATCCAAAAATATAAAAAAATAAAACAAATACCACAAACATATAAAATTTATATAAATTTTTTTTTTTGTATTTTAATAATAAAAAAGTACAATCAGAAAACAATAAAGACAATAAATTATTTATTAGCATATCGATTGCTTGGTGTCTATATATTAACTATTATTTGGACCGCTTAATTTATGCCTTAAAAATTACCAAAAAGGAAAAATAACAACTAATAAAAAACAACAAAAAAATAAATAAATTATATACACAAAATTTTGTATATTTAAATAATTTATTTATATTAGCTAAATGTTTAAAAGATTATACTCGTATGTGCTCTTATGCGCTGGTCTTTTGTGCTAAAGAATTGTGTTACTGAGTCAAACATTTTGAAACAAGTTGGATCCGTTGTGTCCGTCGAGTCCGTAGTACCGTGACAAGTTTTTGGAAAAAGTATTAAATTGTTTTTAATTTTTTTTTTACATAAAATAATAATAAAGCTTAAATAATCAAATCATTACTTTTGATTTCTATAACGAAAACAAAAGAAATTACATTTTGGTCTTAAAAAAAGAGACCTGAAGGAGGAGGGAGACGGAGACAGAATCACAGATTATTAAGAAATAATACGATATACGTATGTAGATGAAATTATATTTAATTAATATATTAATTTTACTAAAATTTATTTTTTTGGGAGTGATTTTGAATGATTACTTTATAATATGAAATAAGTCTATATTACTTTGATCTTATTTTAAAATATAAATAGAATATTGTGTGAATCATTATCTTAACTAAGAAGATTTTTTTCTTTTTATTATTTTATTGACTATAAAACATTATTTTAATACATTTATATTTATATACAATAAGTTAACTTTACCTTAATGTTATATATATAAAATTTCGTAGTAGAATTGTCTAAATTTAGGCTTTCAATAGTTAGAATCTGCATCTAAAATATGATTTCATTATTTTTACCATTTCATTTTATTACATAAAATAAATATATATTGTATAATAACTGTGTAAATTTATATATAGTTTATATTACTTTGATATTATATTAAGAATTTGGTAGTAGAATTATTATAATTCAGACCTTCAATAGTTAGAATCCGTAAATGAAATATAGGAATAATTATAATTATAATTATAAATTGATTTTAACATATTACTTTTCTATATAAATGAAATATTTCATATATATATACTTTTATATAATCATATTCATATATACATATTGATATAATAATAAATCTGTTATATATCGCTGTGATTTTATATTAAAAACTAAGAAGTAGAATTATTTAAATTCAGGTAGTCTGAGTTAAAATGTAATAAACTAAAAAATATTTTTCTTCTTTTTATTAATTTATTGACTATAAAACTTATATTACTATATAAAATAAATATACTTTGTACATATTTATAATTGTATATAAAGTTTATTTATAAAAGTTTATTTTACTTTAATCATATATTAAAAGTTTAAAACTAAAATGACTAAATTCAGGAATCAGTGTCTGAAATTAATAAGAATTAATTATTTATATTTTTAGTATTTTCTTATCTTATCTTTTTTATGACATTTTCTAAATATATAATATTTTATATTATAGTAGGTATCCATTTTGCTATGATACTTTATAGTTTTTTGTGCTGTAGTTTAGAATTGTAAATCTTACATATTAAATATATTTAAAATATATAGTATATATACTATTTTCATAATTTTTATTATTGCTTAGTTTAAATAATTTCATAATTTTCTATCAAAATTTTATATCTAAAATCCGTACTTGATTATTATGCCCAACTTTTAATTTTTTATTTATGTAAAATATATTAATAATTTAAAATATTCAATTTTTTATTTATTTTTATTCATTATTATATTTTATATTTATTATTTATTTATTATTATAAATAATCAATTTTATTTACTTTTTAAAATTGTATTCTGCCCCCTTTACTAGGGCTTGACACATCTCACTTAATGCTATATAATACGCTATGTTACATAGTTACTATGTAAAAAAGTAAAAAGTAACATAGCCCGTAAAATTCAATAATTAAATTTTATCATTTTTTACTTAAAATGCTATATAGATATATTTTTTGCTTATTTTATATAAATTTTGAAAATTTAATATACAAATTAATAAAACAATATTTTTAATAAACAAGCATTTTATAAATATACTAAAATGTAATATAAAATATAAACATTTATTTTTTTATAAAAACTTTTCTTTTTTGAATTAGTTTTTTATATAAATAATATTTATTATAATATTTATTTATAATATATATATTATATATATTTTTATAAATAAATATATTAAATTTTAAAAATTGTCGTAAAAGAAGAAAAAAATATATAAATATTAAGAATTCTGAAAATATTTTAATTGCATAAAAAATATAGACATTTATACATACTATTAATTATAATTTTATAATATTTATT